TTTCCTGTCAGTCGGCGGAGAGAGGGCCCCAATTGTTATTTTAGGTCACATGAGAAATGTGAGACATACATACATAATATATTCGTTTTGCAATATTCAGTTATGTCTTGTTCTTAAATAAATTGTTAAAATCTAAGAAACATTACTCATTCTTGCCTCATTAACAACTCTCAAATATATTTACTGTTTATTCAGTAATGGTCAATATACGTTCTTTCTGTTTGGTTTCTAATAGTGGAAAACACCTAAAATAGAAAAATGAAATTAAAAATGGTACTACGTAAACATGTATCTATATATTATCAAGTTTCCTGAAAATAAGTTACTTTACGTGAAAAACTTTATTTTAACATCAATCAGTTTAAATTCATACCTTGTTTGCTACTATATATCAATTTTTATTGATATGTCTATAAATCAAGTGAACAATGAATATGTAAAATAAATTAAAGTAAAGTTGTGATGACATACATTATCATAATCATGTAAATAATGAGGTTGCATGGAAGCTAGTAAGTATCTGTTAGTAAGTATTATATATTATTATAACAGTAACTTGTTCCGAAGGGATTTGACAGGCGCGGATCATCAGATCAAACGAGATGCAAAGCGTAAAATCAACAGTAAAATTAAGTGATACACAGTAGGTATATAATAAAACTGATTATCAAGTATATAGAGCTAATTGATTGTCATGTTTTTATACACTTTATGATATTGGGAAATGTAAATAAACTAAAGCACGAAAAGTTATCATAAAAAAACCTGCTGCGTTAAAGTTTATCCTATGTACGAGGGTTGTCCCAAAAAGTCGTAGACAATGTTTATAATTTTTTAAACATGCAACCGATACTAACCAAATTTTGCATAGACATAATATATTCAAAGTTCTTTGAAATTGGGAAATTTAAAAAATATATCTTTCGTATTAATAATATTAGGACGATTTATATGAAGGTCGATAAGGCCTGTCGGCGCACGAGCAAAATACGGAATAATTTTCGCATATAACTATTACATTTGCTTTTATTTCTTTAGTACTATGCAATACTTTGACCTCAAATTTAAATCTCTGAAACCAGAATCAGAATCTTAATAAAATGTCAAAATTTCATAAAAATGGCATTAGAAATAGATGATTGGTGTCATGATTTTCATAGTATCGTTGGAATTGAGTTTGATGAAAATGACGTCGTTCAACGGGTAACCGGCGCACGGCGATATAATAAAGTGTGTTGTATATGATTTATAAACAGCAGAGACGGGAAAAAAAGAGTACATAAGTGACATTACATGCCAGATTTTAATAGAGAAATTATTTTTAAATGGCACGATATTCGATGAGATATTTTCCCCCACACGGAAAATAGATACGGTATGTAAGAATCAGAGTAGTGTTAGTTAAATGAAGACGATTTAGAACAAGCTGGACCGTGAACAACGTCAAACAATTTGTATTCTCCGATGCCTACAATGTAAGGCGATCTTTCGACTAAATTTCGACATGAAATTTGAATCTGCTTTAAAAAAAAAATAAAAAACAAACAGACAGCAGTGAGCTTATTCAATCCATTAGTCAAGAGTGGTCTATCACTTTAAAACAAATATTAAATGTTAATAGACGCGAGTGAAGCAGACAAAGAGATCATGACGTTATAAGAGCGTAATTTACGCTTGCTTCCGTGCGCCGGTGTACACATACATGCTTTCTTTATTTTTACATAATTTTCTTATTAGATGTGATATCATCATGAAACTTGAAATGCATGATCATAAAATGTTATTTGTTGATATGACAAGGAAAGAAATTTAATAAAGCGAAGAGAAACTAAACTGTTTTACCTGTCTACGACTTTTTGGGACAACCCTCGTATTTTGTGCTTACACAATTTACAATGTACATTAATCTGTTAATCAACAAAAGTGTAAGGCGTTTTAAAAGTTTTAGTAATACCCCATTCAACTTCTTTGATGCGTTTAAGGATTTTTCCTCGCGCAATATAGAACTTGTAAAATAAAGTAATTTTTTCATTACTTCGAAGAGTAAATGAGCTACAGAGAATTGTTTATTTCATTGTCAAAAAGAGAGTGCTAAATAATTAGTATTTGACATTTTCATTGAAGAGGAACAAGTTTGCTGTGAAGTGAAAGTTGTTAGATTGAAACCTTTGATGTGAGTCAGTCTTTCGGTTTAAATATATATATTGCTACATTTTACACGAACTTTTGAAGGCTCAGTTGTAAAAAAGGGGGTTCGTATGGTTACATGTAACACCCCGAATGCACGATAGGTGGCGGCAACTAGGTAAGATGCATTTATTTGAATTCAAAATGGAAGGTATTTATTAACAAGTAAGTACATATTAACCTCAATCAAAGGCGCACTGACATATTCTTATTAAATGATTCATAGTGCGTGTTGAAACTTGTATTTCAAGTTGAAATATAATTTTCTATTTGAATAAAGTACGATTCTATAACATGATTCCATGCTGAGTAAACTTTAAACTTAGTCACCCAATATATGTGTATTTATGTATATAAAGGAATTTATATGATCTAAATGCGTACAAAATTGCGTATTTTTATTAATCACTATTTTGTGTGAATCCATGGCTCCAGAAGGGATTTTCCGGGTTTTATATACTTTAGGGCCTTCTAGTTACGGCTATTAGCCTTATCCTTATCAAAATATCTTTTGGATCCAAAAATGTGGTTTACAAGTTTTATCCAACCGAAACACCTAAATCCTCCATACCTATTGTTATTGTAGAGAATACATGTACTAGTTTCTTTTGTATAAGGTTCCTATTGTTGTTGTAGATGATATACATGTATGTACTTGTTTTCTTTTGTATAGGGTGTGGGAGATTTTTGGGCCCCACCTTTTGCTGCATTTTGAAATTGTAAAATATATAATCTCATTCGGCATTTGTAATTAATGCGCTACACACACACACACCCTCTTTTTTTATTTAACATGCTGCAGAACAGAGCTGCAAATGTGCTTCATTTTCAGTCATATGAACCGAATTGTTCATCAGTTTCAGTATTTAAGAGCTCATAAATGTATATATATGCATATATATAATGTACCATCGCTAGTAACTGCACCATTCCAAGCATTCTACTGAATTCCAACGACAGCACCAAACCCCACGCCCTCAACCGCCTGGATCTCCTTTCATTTGAGCCTGTACTTCAATAATTTTAAACAACACATCCAGCAGAAACAGAATAATAACACCTATTATCTTCAACTAGACAAATATAAAATTAGTCAAGGTTTAAAACAAATTCAGTATGAAGGCAATTACATTATCAATATAAAAAAAAAGGCGATGCTGTATTTTAAGTCATAAAGTGCAAGTATAACACAATTATTTTTATCTTTTTAGCAATATTAGTAAGTGTCACAAGTGACATTGTGTCAATGTTTGATATTAGCCTATTGTCTTTATTGTCTGACGTCTTGGCGTCAGACAGTACTAGATTTAACCAGGGCTTATTTATGCAGTCGTTCCATTAATCTCTTTAGATAGTTCGATGGTGGAAATTTCGACACATGCATAGATATATAATCTCCGAAGACACATGTCGTTCGGCCAAGGAAGCAATGCGCTTTTAATTTTTAATTATTTACTCAACTGGGCACGTGGTCAAATATATATTCTCTTAATTGCCCTGTCCTGCACCAACTATAGTAAAAAAAACTCAATCCATTAGATTATATTTTGGACGATTACACGTAAATTAGTTTGCGTCTTCTTGTTGACTTCAGAATTACATCCATCAATTAACAGCAGGGGAATGGTCATCATGTGTAAAGCTTTGCTTAGATTGTTATCTCTGTTTATACGCGCCGGCCATTTAGTGATCAAACAAAGATCTTCCCATTGGTATCATTTACAAACTTTATTTTGTTTGTTGGAAAAAGAAATCAGTAAGGTCATTTAACATACAAAACATTACTTGAACAATGCAATAGCTTAAATTTAATGTTCTTGCTGTGTAAGTTAGTGTGTTATATACTGTACATATGCAAAATCATAAATGTTAGTAGCTTTACCTCACCACAGTTTTACTTCTGTTACATCTATAATTATAAAATAAGCAGGTTATATTTATTTCCCGAACAAATAAATGGTAAAGTTTTTTTTCTTGGAATCTTATATTAAAATTATTGCTTTCGAGTTTTCATGCCAAAAAATCACGTCAAATTTTCCAAAGCAATGGAATCAATAAAAATGTAATTGATAAAAATCACCCATATTCCCCAAACGCTGGCAAGACAATTTTTGGCAACATATTTCAGGGGGTGGATCCTAGCTAGGTTTTCTGCTTTCTTAGTTAAAGAAAAATAAACTTGACACATTCCACCTTTTTTTCAATCATTGATATTTTTACTTTAAAATGAAAATTTTTACATAGCCAATGTTTTGCTATAGATATACGTAAAAATTTGAAAGACAGCTTATTTTTAATGAAGAATTAGTTTATTATAATTAATTTAACATTTTATTTTTCCTTTATTTAACTCTTTTAACAGCATATGATTTAGATGTCCTACCCCCACTCCCCCAAAAAAGGGTGTGTATGCAAGGGTTCTAAATAATAAGTATTCTACCTATCATGTTTTAACAGGCACGAAGCATCGTTTTTTAAAGTGGGGCAGCCAGGGAAAATTCTTTTTTTTTTCTTACTTGTAAAATCTGACAAGCAGAAAAAAAGGGGGAGAGAGAGAGAGAGAGGCGTTGTAGAAGCGAGGGGGATGTTAGTGGCCAACTTTTTGCAAGGCCAACTTCCTTTCACTTCTAAATTTACCTGATATCACTTTACTCTTCACTGTGGTAAGAAGTGGGGACGGGGGGTGGGGTGGGGTGGGGGGTGGGGGGGGGGGTGGGGTGGGCAACCAACATTTCAATGGACATTTTCTATAGTAAAGGTAATGTTGGGACCCCCCCCTCGTTGCTATGTGCTTTTTAAAACCCAGTAAAACTTAGATCCCTCCCTCAAAACTGCTGACATTAATTGCCTCGCGCGCACATCTCCCTGGGGAAGAATCACCGATTAACGTTAATTCGGCTTTTATCGAGTTCGCTCATCGGATAGAAAGTGCAAGTTTTCTTGGCATGACTATTGTATGGATCCATAAATTTTAATGATAATGGTATAGACCAGTTGTTATATCATGGCATGTCATAAATGATTTAAAATCAAACTGAACTTGAGTAATTGAAAAATATAAACATAGATTAAAAAATAATTTCTGTTGACATTATGTAGTCTGAACTTCATTGTTGGAAATAGCATTTCATTTGTTTTTTTTTTTTACATGCTATACCCCTTTTCCACAGAAAAAAATGTTATAAAATCAAACGTAGTATCAATGAGAAAAGAAAGATGTTATTGCAAATAAATTGTGTTCAGTAAATTCATCTTAACCATGATTTAAAAGAAATTGAGCTGCCATTGCAATGTTGATTTCACATGGTCTTTTTAAGATACATTACCGAACAAAAAAAAATATGTAAAATATAGATATTGATTTCTTTCCGCTTTGTGAAATTAAGCAAACCACGTCAGACGAGCTTTTTAGGAAAGCTAATACTTGTTTTGGGTATTAGGAGTTATCGTTTTTATTAATGTATACTCGTCGACCCTGTTTGATTAGTTTATACTGGTCCCTCATCCAAGCATACTTTACCCATGCTTAGTGATCTTTGGTGTGTCTTTTAAATAATCCATGCTTTGTTAACTTGGGTGTATTCTATTTCCCCTGCTGAGTGATCTTGGGATTCAGGGATGTTTGAAGCGGTGTTGAGGGGAAGACCTGGGGCGTATGTTTATCTTGTGTAAAATGCCACAGCTCCGTAGTTTTTACACTTTGCAATATTTTATTATTTTGTTACCTTTAAAGAGCAATATTCTATGTAAAACTGTTAGCAATATAGCAATAATGTATATACTTACGCTCTTATTCATTTACTCGTTAAACGGCAAATATGTGCTGTCTTATGTAATTTGTTTGTAAAATCTAGTACTTTGAAAAGATGTGTGTTTTGAATATTTTATTAGAAAACTCCATGAAAATTGTAGGTGACCACCGTTTTTCGGACGGCAGGATTTGTTTACGTGGTGAGGCTATCTAGGGTAGGGTGGACCAGACGGGCCACTATGTTAGACAATTGATGATGAAGCGACGTGGTATGAAACTATGGTTAAAATTTCAGCCGTGTTTTGTTCATTGTACATATGTAGATAAATTAATTGTTTATTTTCTTTAGAGGGCGACATAACACTCAAAGGCTTTCCTGTCGCCGAGGGGCAAATATTCTGGTATTGCTGCCAGAGAATTAAGCCATGTAATATATGGTATATAACATTTTTAAGCATTGAACCCAAATCGATCATCGAATATATTTATTGAACACTATGTACACATATATGTACCGTCGTTGAGTATAATTCCGAAATATCCCGTCCTGTTTCATGGCAGAATGATTTCAGTATGCTGACACTTGTGTTGATAGCCTTTGTTGTATTTAAAGAATTTTTCTCCTCAATTAAATTATCTAATTCCTCTGAATTAAAATAAACAAATCGCAGACCTTGTTTTGACTTTTTAACTTTCGCGGAACTATTTACGTTTGCTTAACATAACTGTATCCTGCGTGATTCGGCAGTTTTTCAGGGCATATGGAATAAAAATATTATATTTGTAATATAATTGGAAAACATCTTCAAAAATGTTTTATAAGTGCATCTTTACAGTATAATTTTAAAGTGCTCTATTAGAGCCAAAAAGTTATATACGAACACAGGTTACTCTTTTTGAGAAAAACACATCTCAAATAATCTTTTATACTATGTTTTTACAAAGATACACAGCGAGTGATTTTTCTACCAGACCTCATTCTTCATTCTTCTCTTAAGTATTAAGAAAATAAAGTGTAAAAAAAATGCCGGAGCAGTGTTCTCTGTCATTCAAAATTTACCTTTATTACAGACTTCACCTAAGTTAACTATATTCGCATACAAATAGTTTTAAAAGAAGTATGCAACGAAATGATTATGGTACGATGTTTGACTCAGGATTCCAACACATATTTCAGAGAATGTGGCAAGTAGCAATTAGACGGTTGCATGAAAGTGTAAAAACAACTTATTTTTTTCATTTTTTCTTCATACTTTAAGGTCTTTGAGGATCTTGAAAAACAATTGAGAAGCTAGGAGAAGCAAAACAAATTGATTTTTACGGGTATAGGGGATAATTAACCACTCTGCATAAAAAATGGAAAAAAGATTGAATTTATTTGATGAAAGATTTAGTAAGAGAGAAATTGTTCTTAATAACAACATATTTAATTGACATGTGGTGTTAATCAGATGTGCATATCTTTAACCTATACAGAACTGTTAAAACAATTTAAGGCAGATAATTCTAACCAAAATAATATCAACAAAACGTTTCACTTTTCCACACTTTATCAAACCACTTTCCATGATATAATAAATTGCGACATTGTTGACATCTTAGACAGATGGTTTTTCAATAAAATGGAACTCTTTTTACTTTACCATTTGTCATTTGCAAAAATTATTTCTTAAGGAGGTTGGATCCTGTGCAAAAGCACTCTCTACCATCGGCTCATACATTCACTTGAGAGAGGAACGAACGACAACTCTGCATGGGAGATTGGTGCAAAAGCGTATTGAAATTTTTTGTTGAGTATGTTTTTTTTAGAATGTACACTCAAAAAATAAAACAGAAATGAGATCATAGCGCTTTTTTCGCACTACTGAGCAATTTTATTATATGACCTTTTTGCACTATAATAATAACGTCTAACATATAAATTAATTTTGCAAGTTTTCACTTTAATATGTTTTTTTCCAAATGAAATATTGAATAAAACAGCCTTTGTTCATCTGAAAGTCACATTTAAATTTTGACAGCTGACAATAAAATTTGTTTCAAATTACTGCGCATAATCAATTCTTTGACCTCTCTACACTCGATGATCTTTTTGTGCTAATAAATTAAAAAAAAGCAATAGAATAATTTAAAGGTAAAGACAACTATAAATCAATTTGAAAAGCTTCCAATTTTATATTTTTCTTCCAAATAAAATATGAAATCAAACAGTCTTTCTCCATCTTAAAGTCACATTTAAATTTGTGACAACAAAATAGTTTCAAATTACTGCGCATGGTCAATTATTTGACCTTTTTGCACTAAAAAAATTATCTTTTTGCGTTAAAAATTTAAAAAGGATTAAAATCATTTAAAGGTACCAGTCGAATTTAAAACTGGTTGAGTGAAAAAAGCGAGGTCATCATTACCATTACATTGCCAAAAATTTCAACTCATTACCGCTACATTTTTCCAGATTTTCGACCGATCATTACCGCTACATTTTTACGGCAAAAACAACTCATTACCGCTGCATTTCAATTTAGCCAGGTATGGGTTCGGCATATGAATTCTAATGAATAAAGTTACCTGAAGATGCGTGCTGCAAGAAACAGGATTCTCACAGGACGAAAGGAGAACAAAAATTAGGGAATAAAGGCTAAATATGGCAGTAGGGAAATGACAAGGCAACAATATGCAAAGCAAATGGCTTTCAAGGATTTACCGATGGTGTAAAAAAAATATTCGACAAAAATTAGAATTTTATGTATGAACAGTGCTTGATTTTTACTTTTTTTGTTTTATGAAATAAAATTGATTTTAATAAAAAATAAACAATATCCTGTTCAATGTCCTACTTTCACCTACCCGTTGTGAGCAGTGGAAACGGGTCTAATGCATGTATAGAATGTACTGTACACGAATAAGTGGCTGGCTTACGAAAGAGGCAATGTAGCGGTAACGTTTACTTTTTATGTAGCGGTAATGTAGGGATTTTTGTAGCAGTAATGACTATGTAGCAGTGATGAAAATTTTGAAATGTAGCGTGATTTGACTGGGTTTATATCTAAAACAGGGAAAACTATAATTAGCAATTGCCAAAGGATGAAACTAATACGGGGCAAAAATGAACCTGTTTATAGTATCAGATCGCAAATCAAAACATGGGCGGCTTCATCAACCATTTTTTTTAATTTTTTTTTTGTTAATTGTTCAAGACATATTTTTTTCTTTCAAATTTATTATTTTAACCTGTTTTTTTTCATAAAGCATATTTTCTTCTTTTCTTTTTATTTTCAAACTCTTTGTTGTTAAGGAGGTTGATTCGCTTTTATTTTTCTTTAGGAAGTTCAAAGTAAAGACGATTTTTTTTTTCGATATCAAAGCATGTACAAAGCATTTATATTCTTGCAAAGCTAACTGATCTTACCTTGTAACTCATCATGAACCTCAACAGAGATATTGATAATAAAATGCGTCATCAGTTTAAATAAAATTCAGTAGACTTAACTTAACTAGAGCTCATGTTCGT